TTATTATGTATATATTTATTTAATTATTTATTTTCAAGCCAATTCGAGCCCAAAACGAGCAAACAAACTTATATTCGTGTTCGGCTCGTTTACATTTCAAGCTTACAAATTTGTTCATGTTCGACTCGTTAAGCTTAACGAACGAGCCAAACACGAGGTACTTAAGCCCCAAAACAGAGCCAGATTGACAGCCCTACTTTGCCTTCCTTTTTCTCACTCCACCTTAGTTCGGCTTCCAGGACTTTTAGCTTGGCTTCAAAGTTTGTCTCGCCGAAATTCTTTCTCGTTTGATTTGTTTCATAAATTTATTGGGATTTCCTCTTGGATCATTTGTATGGGAGGGATGAAGAGAAATTTTCAAGTATGATATAATTTGTCAGCAATTTTGGGGCAGTGTTGTAGTAGTTTGCTATAATTGTTGCGACTTAAAGTTGCTGGCTGTAGTTTGTTGTAATGTGCAGACTCATAAGCCTCTTTTATTTTTAGCCTGCTAATCTCATCATATGTAGTTTGCTAAATATATAATTTTATTGATCAACTCATATTTTCAAAAAATATGTAAATGATTTGTTAATGTGTCATTTCTAATTTATAAAGATAGATTTGCAAAAAAAAAAAAATCACTATTTATTTAAGGCATGTGGGTTAAATGGATCTATTTAGTAGGCAGTTTGTCTATAACATTTTAAATAAAAATCTAGCTCAAGCCTAATTGAGTGCATTTTGACTGATTAAAGCCCGAATAGACTTGACTCGTATCAAGCTTGGCTACCCAATACCCAGATATATTGAAAACCTGCAAAGGAATATACATTCCCCTCTATGTAGATTGCCAAAAGAAAAAAAAAAAGGAAAAAAAAAAGGACAACAAGATGATAGTTAGGTCCAAACACTCTAGGAAAAAAAAAGAATGAAAATATATTTATTTATTTATTTTGAATGTTTGGACCATTCTTAAGCTTACTTTGTTCTTAGGCATCATGGCATTTAGACTATCCAGGGATGGTAAATGAGTGCACGTAAAAGGTTCTATTTCTTAAAGAATAATGATTTATGGAGGTTACTAGCAATGTTAAATGATGAATATTAAATATTGTTATTGTTGAATCTAAAAATATCTCATGGATCACACTCGAAGAATAAAACATCAGACGGATGAGAGGAATAAAGGGAAAAAAAGAAAGAGAAGTATAATGCACAATAACACAGATTGTTTGAGAGTAGATTCAGTAGTCTCTTTTTGAAGAGATGATTCCCATATTTATAGATCATAGGAGATGTCTTTTAAGTTACATATTTGTCTCTATTTTAATAGGAACGCTAGAAGTAATTAATGCACCATTACACTCTTACATATTTGTAATTGACTCTAAGATCCTTTAATATTCATAATCGCTATTAGCACTATTTCAGATTCATAACAATTTGAAGTGGTCATTAATAGTCCACTAATATTTGCATTCAATCAACTGGAAATTATTCGGTCTCGGCCCATAATTTTAATCAAAAGAAATGACATTTGGCGCATCAGTCTTTCAACTATTCTATCGCAATCATTCGATATCTTCTTAGAGAAATTCATTGAATTTTTAACAAGATTTGCGTCGTTATATTTTATATGTATATATTTAATTTCTCAACTCTTACTTCTCAGAAGTGACGAATGCGAAAAGAATAAGAAAATTAAATGACAATTTTATTTATTTATTGCATAATAAGCACATCTAATAATTAAACTTCCTGAATTTTTTGTGCTGACATTCCCTATAAATAGGTCGTGATCAACACTTTTCCATCTTCATTTAAAAACTTTCTACTCTTCAGCTAGTTTTAATAGAGGATAGTGATGGCGTGTGACAAAAAAACCAGCGAATAAGGAGGCCATGTTGATGGCCTTTAGTCTCTCGACCGAGAAACATTGCCATCCCGCGGGTGAGAAAAATAAAAATCCCGAGAGTACTCGACCGGCTCCTAAGAAGAAACCTGTGGATGAAAGCCAACCCACTAGAAAGAGGTCGGAAGGTGAAAGACTGACGATGGGTCCTTACAAAGGGGCCGGTGGAAGGGATTCGAGCTGAGGGGACCAAGTTGTTGAGCAGGCAATGATGAAGAAGCAAAGGGAGGAAGAGACAACCGATTTATCTGACTCATTGCCACTTCCATAGGTGGGGAGCAGGATGAGTGTGCACATCACTGATGTAAGGGTCTTGGCCCCATATCCAATCCACCAGCGGTCGGCTCAGTCACTGGCATAGTAGCAAGTACAGGTGCAGTCAGCTGTGGCAACATAAGTTTAGTCGCTAGGTGTTTCTCTCTTGCCTTTGATAAGTGAGGGTTGCTAGGCGAGTGTCTTATTGTCTATCAGTGAGAGTCTCTGTATGTCAGAGATGGAGAGGTAGTCAATAAAGTTTTTTTTTCTTTTCTTAAAACGGCTAGTCCATCCCTTATTCCTCTAACATTAGATATTTTTTGCAGATAAAACCTTGTAAATCATTGATTCCCCTCCCAAAAAAGTCAGCCAACCTCAAGCACTAGAGCCAAATGTTGTACCTTCTGCTCCAGCTCCTAGTGAAGGCGCACCTGCTCATCTGTCAGTCCTGACGGACGTTAAAAGGGAAACCGACAAATGGCGTGGTTCTTATGAGTCGTTGGCCCGCCGTATGGACGAGACGATGGACTCCTTTGATCACGTAAGTGATATCCATAGAGAAATTTCCATATCAGACCTAGGAGGAGTTGACAATCATCTATACAGATATGGTGACCCTCTAGACTGAGCTAGAGAAAGTATGGGCGACTAGCTTGATCTTCCAGGTTTGAACATAATAAGAGGGTATAAAAAAATTTATGTTTGGGGGGCGTTCGTTGTATTTGAGCCTCTTTAGGGTGCTGCCCCGGGCGAGTGATGACCACTCAGTAAATTATTTTTTAACATAAATAAAAATTAAATTTTTAGGAACAAAACAGCAGGCGGATGAGAGGAATAGAGGGAAAAAAAGAAAGAGAAGTATAATGCATAATAACACAGATTGTTTGAGAATAGATTAAGTAGTCTCTTTTTGAAGAGATGACTCGCATATTTATAGATCATAGGAGATGTCTCTTAAGTTACATATTTGTCCCTATTTTAATAGGAACGCTAGAAGTAATTAATGCACCATTACACTCTTACATATTTGTAATTGACTCTAAGATCCTTTAATATTCATAATCGCTATTAGCACTATTTCAGATTCATAACAATTTGAAGTGGTCATTAATAGTCCACTAATATTTGCATTCAATCAACTGGAAATTATTCGGTCGACTGGAAGGTCTTCGATCGGTCTTCTCAAGAGAACCCATATAGAAACCTTTTATCATTAGGATGAACTTTAGACCATCAGACAGAGGGTGTGTCACCATATTTTGATGGGCAGCTCTCATTTAGATAAGAGGTCTTCATAAAGGTTGGAAAGATGTTCTAAGGAGCAACCATTTGTCCTCCTTGTGAAGAATTCCATAATTAGTTGAGGGAGTTGATTACAAATGGTAATCCGTCAGATCAGGTGCATGATGTTCTTTCTTTCAATAGTACTTTCCTTCGGTCGGCCCATAATTTTAATCAAAAGAAATGACATTTGGCGCATCAGTCTTTCAACTATTCTATCGCAATCATTCGATATCTTCTTAGAGAAATTCATTGAATTTTTAACAAGATTTGCGTCGTTATATTTTATATGTATATATTTAATTTCTCAACTCTTACTTCTCAGAAGTGACGAATGCGAAAAGAATAAGAAAATTAAATGACAATTTTATTTATTTATTACATAATAAGCACATCCAATAATTAAACTTCCTGAATTTTTTGTGCTGACATTCCCTATAAATAGGTCGTGATCAACACTTTTCCATCTTCATTTAAAAACTTTCTACTCTTCAGCTAGTTTTAATAGAGGATAGTGATGGCGTGTGACAAAAAAGTTGTTGAGCAGGCAATGATGAAGAAGCAAAGGGAGGAAGAGACAACCGATTTATCTGACTCATTGCCACTTCCATAGGTGGGGAGCAGGATGAGTGTGCACATCACTGATGTAAGGGTCTTGGCCCCATATCCAATCCACCAGCGGTCGGCTCAGTCACTGGCATAGTAGCAAGTACAGGTGCAGTCAGCTGTGGCAACATAAGTTTAGTCGCTAGGTGTTTCTCTCTTGCCTTTGATAAGTGAGGGTTGCTAGGCGAGTGTCTTATTGTCTATCAGTGAGAGTCTCTGTATGTCAGAGATGGAGAGGTAGTCAATAAAGTTTTTTTTTCTTTTCTTAAAACGGCTAGTCCATCCCTTATTCCTCTAACATTAGATATTTTTTGCAGATAAAACCTTGTAAATCATTGATTCCCCTCCCAAAAAAGTCAGCCAACCTCAAGCACTAGAGCCAAATGTTGTACCTTCTGCTCCAGCTCCTAGTGAAGGCGCACCTGCTCATCTGTCAGTCCTGACGGACGTTAAAAGGGAAACCGACAAATGGCGTGGTTCTTATGAGTCGTTGGCCCGCCGTATGGACGAGACGATGGACTCCTTTGATCACGTAAGTGATATCCATAGAGAAATTTCCATATCAGACCTAGGAGGAGTTGACAATCATCTATACAGATATGGTGACCCTCTAGACTGAGCTAGAGAAAGTATGGGCGACTAGCTTGATCTTCCAGGTTTGAACATAATAAGAGGGTATAAAAAAATTTA